TTAAATACAAAATTAATATATATTTAAATAAATAAATATAAATAAATTTAATAATATTAATAATAAAAAATTATTAATAAAAAAATATATACTTAATTTATTTATTGATTATGATATTTTTTACATTTTTTTAAATATAAAAAATATCCCTAATTTAAAATTTTTCTGAAATACTATATAAAATATAATTATAGATTTTTAAAAATTTTCTACTCATTTTTTTTTCAATAAAATAGTTCTAATAAATATAAATTACATAAATTTATGAAAATTTAATATATATTTATAAAATAAATAAAAATAAGTCCAATATATTATTAATTTTTTTATTTTATATTTCAATGTTTTAAATTATATTTTTAAAATAAATCATACTATTTTTAATAATATAAACTTTATATAAATTTCTATTTATTATCTTGATTTTTTACTAACTTATTTTCTTCTATATAACTTTATCCCTAAATATTTTTATCATTCTAATATTAGCTTTCAACCCAAGATTAATATTTATTTTGTTCTAAAAGTTGTAACTTTTTAAAAAAATATTCCAAATTTTAAATTGGTTAAATAATTTCTTTTTATTTGGAGTTAAAACGATTTCCTATTTATTATTAATTTAGATTGAAAAACCTTAATTAATATTTTATACTATTTATATCATTTATTGCTTATTCAACATTTATATTTTATAATTTATTTTAAGATTTTTCTACTTTAATTTGATTTTTCTGATTAACTTTTCTTTAAATCTACATAAGAGATAGTTACTCATTTTAAATTTTTGATGTTTGAATTTCGGGTTATTAGATATTATTTAACTATGGAAAATATTCTTAATAAGTATTATTTATTTTTGGATTATTTTATAATCTGTATTGTATTCTTTTGCTGTTTATTTATTTGCTTTATTCTTGCTTTTTCTACTTATCACTTATTTTAAATTCATCAGATAATTTAAAATTTTTTAAATCTACTTTTCCGGTTTGATTTGTTTATGTTATTGATGATTAAAGGTCTTTACTTATATGAGATATTTTACCTTTAAATCTTTATTAGAAATTCATTTTTTTATAATTATTATTATTTCTAAAGCTAAATTATTATAATAAGTAGTACGATTTTCTACAATTTTGATTTTATATTTTTTAAAAATAAATAAATATATTAAGCTATTTATTACTAATAAAAATTAATATATTTTCATAAAAAAATCTGCTTTTTTTTTAAAAAAAAAAATTATATAAAATATTAACATTGTTAATTTTTTTATTTTTATATTTAAAAAAAATAAAAAAAAATAAGATGAACATAAAAAATTATTTCATATAAATTTATTAAAATGGTTTAATTAATTTTATTTAAAAAAAAAAAAATTCTGATTATTTTATTTTTTTACCTAAAAAAATAAATAAAAATTATATATTGTAAATAAAAAATAAAATATCGATATAATATTATTCAGATACTCATCGAACCCATTCATCGATTTCTTCATCTAATTCTTTGTATTCGGTTCTGAATTATTCATGAAACTCTTCGTATTAATCTGTTCCTTTTGGAAATTCACAACTAGAAACATAGTCTTTAACTTATTTAAGCTTTTCTTCTAATTTTTAAGCGTTTTATCCTGTTTATCTTTTCATTTCTTATCCTTGGAATAAAAGTAGATATTCTGGTTCAACCTTAATAGAATTAAAAAATTAATAAATTATATTTTTAATAAAAAAATATTTATATAATATATAATATATAATATATAATATATATATAATATAAAATATATAATATATAATATATTATATATATAAATTTTATTTCGTTTTTTTTACTTTAACACCAAAGTATTTTCTAGCAAGAATTGCCTTATCAGTGTCAATTGAAATAAATTAATATTCTTAAAATTTATTAGATAATTATTCGAAATCTTTATCTTATTTTTCGCATCTTTATTTTTTTTATAATTAAATAATTTTATTGTTTTTTTTTATATTAATTTTAAACAAATAAAAATGTTTTTATTTGTAATTATAACATAATAGTATTTTTATAATAAATTTGATTATTTTCATACAGTTTTTTTTTATTTAATACATTATGATTATTTAATTTATTATATTGCTTTATTATTTAAAATTACAATGGATTCCATGATGAATGGAAATAAATTACAGCTAATCTTGGCTTTAGTTTATCTAAATATGTTTTGGATTGTTTAAAATCTGAAAAAGCAGCAACTTTCGAAAAATAATTTTAAACTTATGATTATAAATTAAATAATTTAAATGATTTTCTTGCAATCATTATTTTATTTTATTTTATTAACTTTTTGGTATTTTATTTTTATTTATTAATTTTTTCTTTTTTCTTTCTTTATTTTTTTTCTCTTTAATTTTTTATATCAATTCTATAATAGTTTATTATTTTGTTATAATTTATAAAAGATAAAAAAAATTTATAATAAATTTTTATTTAATAAAATAATAAATACTTATTATTTTTTTTCTTAAAAAATAAAATTTATACAAATTATTTATTTATATAATGAATTTTTTTTTAAAAACAAATATTAAATTTAAAAATCAATTTTTTTTAAAAAAAAATTAATAAATAAAATAAAATAAAAAAAAAATATCACATTTTTAAAATTTTAAAATAAAAAAAAATGATAAAAAACATATTATTAATTTTAACAATTTTCCTACTAAATTTTACTATAACTTCTTAATAATGCAGTTTTCCTTTTATTTTATAAACCGGTACAGGATGCCCTGAAAATTATTTTTTCAGTTCAACATCTTTATGTTGTATAAAATGTCCTGAAAACACAATCAATTCTGTAAAAATAATAAAAATAAAAATAAACAAAAAATAATTAAAAAAAAGGCAGATTTTTAAACCTGTGTATGTGCTTGGAAGCCCTCTTAATAGTAATTCTTCTATACTAACATATAAAATAAAGGCGGTTTATATAACCCTACAGACGGCGGCTATTGCCAAGCAATAAATGATCAATAATAGAGAACCCCAAATTGTCAATAAGACAATAGTATATTTAGAACAATTGATTACAACGGTAATAACAATCAGAATTGCTTCGAATGTATAGGATCAGTGGATAGAAGAAATGAATAAGCATATTGTCTTCCATTAAAAAGGGAATAAATGAGAACTGGAGTTCGAGAAGTGAGATGTACAATACCATTGAATACATTAAATAATTGTATAATAGATGAATAATCAAGTGAATATGCATAAATATAGCCCTATTATTAATATGATAATTAAAGAAAATTTACTATATAAAATAATTATTCGATGGATGGTTTTAGTTTTACATAAGAATAAATCGAAAATAATATTCTGAGAATGATTTCTTATAAAAGCCAAAATTTAAAAGATTGCTATACAGATTGTAGTTATTTAGTTAATTAGTGTCTTTTTGAAGGATTAGGAACTAGTAAAATATACCCTACTTGTTAGTTTTTATAAAATATTGAAAATAGTTTAGTTAGGGATGTTTTGTATCCTAAAGAGGATAATTTTGAAAAAAAATATACTAATAATGTGTCTTTTGATATAGAAAATGAAAATGAGGGAACAGTGTCGATTTTACCGCTTTTTATTGCTATTTATTAAAGAGATGGAACTTTTATTGATTTTAGAGAATTAAGTAGTGATTTGTAAGTTTGCAACAAGAACCTTTATGATGGTAAAGAATATAAGAAAATGGGAACAAATTTTGTTAATGCTTGTAAAATTGATTTAGAAGATTTCTTAAATGATTATTAGAATTAATCTTATAGTTATGAAATTTATATAAAAGAAAAAGATAAAACATTTTCATAATTAATTATTTTTTCAGAAAGATATTAAAATGAAAAGTTAATTAATTCTAATAAATTACTAAGACTTTATATTATTGATAAATAAACTTTTGTAATATTAATATATATAATTAAATATAGTAATAAAATAATATATATATATATATATATATATATATATATATATATATATATATATATTTTTTTATAAAATTTATTTTTAACTTTATCAAATTTATCTATAGGATGGATTTATTTAATATGCTTAATCTATTTTTATTAATATTAATCTTGTAGAAGATTCGATTATTAATATTCCTTATATTTAAGTTAAATATTAAATTGTTCAAACGCCTAAAAAAGGTTAAGAATATTTAAAATAAGTTTAGTTTTAAGTAAAAGAAAAATATATATATATATATTATATACTTAATAATATATTAAAAAGGTTAGTTATTTTTTTAGTTTCAATTAAATATGGATAATTTTAATAGCTACTTTTAGCGTATTTATTGCTTTATGTTTTATTTGGATAATTTTAAGAATTTACATATGGACAAAATATAATCCTTCAAATGATGGAGTAAAAATCATTTAAATTTTTTTAAAATAAAAATTAAGGTTTCTCGAAATTTACCTAACTATGGAAATAAATTGTTTTTTGATGCTTTTTATATAATAGTAGATGTTTTAGCTGATGGAATTTTTTATTATGTATTTATAACTGCTTTTTTCTTATTTATGTTTTATAAAGCAACCACAATTCCTATTATGTTACTACCATCATAAGAATATTTACCAGAATAATACATTCCTTTCAAAATAGCAATTGGAATAAGTTTTTTATTAAAATTGATTTCCACAGCAATAATGGTTTACAAATAATCAAGTTGCCATATTTATTTTCTAGATTGGGAACCTCCTCGTAAATATGAAAGTAAAGAAGAAGACAAAGGTAAAATATATATATATATAGATATAAAGATAAATATATATATATATATATATATATATATATATATATATATATATATATATTTATTCTTATATTTATACATATTTATATAATTACTATATATTATAGTATTTCAGTATGGAGAACTCTTTTTGTTGCTAATGAATTTAATGAACTAAGTGTTTTGAGAACAATATCAGTGGAATGGTCTTTATTTTTCTTGGGATTATTTATGTCAGGTTTTGAATGGGAAAATACAGCAGCTTAGCAACCTACTATACATAGAGAATTAAATACTGATTCTGTAAAAATAAATATAGTTTTGAAGTTATTTATTGGATGTGGAATTTTCTATGTAATTGGTTTAGCTTAAATTATTTTAAGACAATTAATTAAAATTTGGTTTCCATATAATATTTAAGACTTTACAGATTTTTGTTCTGTAGCAAATATTTCTATTTTTATTTTTGATGATTATTTGCATGGGTATTATGTACATGGATAATCTCCGGATAAATATGCTGAAGGAAATGCTTTATGGCTAATGTAATGTCTAGGTGATGATATTGGGCATGGAGATTTCTTAACTAATATATTTGGATAAAATGCACTTTAGCAATAATAATAAATGATGAATAATTCATTATTAAATAGGAGTATATAATTTTAATAAATGATGTAAGCTTAATAAAGAGGAATGTAAGGAAATTTTAATAATATGTAATTACCAGAATAGATCAGTGCGATTAAAAATAAAACATAAATGGCTAAAAGAGGAGAAAGAGGTATAAATAATGCAAACTAATAGATTTTTGAATTATTTTTATCATGGGATTTACGAGAAAAATTAGATAAAGTAATATAAAAAAAATATTAATTAAAAAAATATATAATTAAAATATATATATGTAAATATGTATATATATATATATTTATATTTTTTATATATAGTTGCTTGATATAAAATAAAAGTCTATTTAATATTAATAATGTTTAAGCAATTTATAAAAAACTTAAATAATTTAGAAAAAGAATGCTTAATAAACATAAAAATAATAAGTTCTTAAAAGCGAATAAGTAGATGAAAATAATTAATTTAAAAAAGATTAGAAGGATTTAGAAAATTTTAATTTGCATCATGGAAATGATTTATATAAATATAATATGGATCTCGTTTTGAAAAATGTTGTCGATAGTATGTCTTAAGGAACAGGATAAAATTCTAATATTTTCTAAATGGATTTTTTTTAGAGGTGGTTATTACATTTACCACCCCCTAATCATACCGATAAAAGATTTAATTAAAACATATTCTATATTGATGAAGATTATGGTTTTAAAAATATCTTTTATTTAGGTTAAGAATATAATTTGCTAATGTTTATAATTATTACGTTTGGATTCTCTAATGTTTTTACTTAATCTACTTTAGCTTCTATTATAATTACTTATGCTATTGATTATATTTATAAGTTTATAAGATAAAATCGTGGTTAATCTAATATATCACATAAAGGAGGAATTGATGATTAATTTTTAATATGAAATACTTTTTGTATTTTTAAATATATAAAATGTTATTTTTTTAAAAGATTTATTATATTTATTTTTATATATGAATTAATAATTTTTATTTTTTATTTAAAAAAATAAAAAAAAAGAATAATTTCTATTTGTTTATGTTTTATATAATTATATAAATATATAAATTTATATTTTTTTATTTTATTTTTTCAACAAAATAAATATAAAAATGAATAAAACAAATAATAAAAAATAACATACTTAATAATATACATATTCTTTCATTTTTTGTAAATAAAAAACTAATTTTTAATAAAAGTAATTATTCAATAATTTAATTTTACTCAAATTCTATTATACTACAATTATTTTTTATCCAAATTATCTTTTTTTAAATACTCATAAATAGTCCATGCGATTGCTCCTTATGCTCCTTTTTTAAGCATTCTGGGCAAAAAACCTCTATAAAATCCTTAAAGCCCCTCATCAATATATATAAATCTAACTAAATTAAAATAGCTTTTACTTTCTCCTCTAACCCCCTGATATCTAACTCTAATATTATCAAAAGGATAATAAATAATAATGGCTATAGTTGCAGAAATAGCTCCTGAAAAAAAATAAAAATAATTACTTGGTTATTTTTTAAATAAGTATTCATAAAAATTCAATAATTATTAATAAATAGAATACTAAGTACCACTAAAAGGCAAATCTCGCATTAACATAGGCCCTATACCTCTATAAAATCCCTTTAATCCTTCATCTATATATATTTTTTAAGCCGCTTATATTATATTTTTATATTCATTTTGTCCTATTACCTCAAATCGAGTCTTCAAAACAGTCAATGGAGTAGTAAATAAAGTCGTAAAAAGCATTGCAACAGAACCGTTAAAGAAATTTACAAATCCATTATATATATATTTTTCAGGTTATTTAGGTAATGTATGCATTATTAAGGGTAAATTGGTTATTCCGTTAAAAAATATGCCTAGACCAAATGAAGATTTTAATAAACAGATGGTACCGCCGCGAAAATAGCCTTTAATACCTTCTTTTCTATATATATATTTCATTATGGACCAGAGCTCGGATGGATATATACCTCGATAGTTTAAAAATACACTGGATGTACGCATTACTTCGAATGGTTGGGATATTAAAGTAAAACAGGCACCAGCTATGAAACTTTTGTAATGGATGTATGCTTTTATTATTGAATTTTTATCTTCCATTTATTTATTTATTTCTTAATTTTATTTTGACTTCTTTTTATTTTATTTTAATCGAAATTTCTTAATGATTTCTATTTTTTTAGTAATTAATTTATTGTTATTTTTTTATTTTTTTTAAATTTTGTTTTTTGTTTTATTCTTAATTAAAAAAAAATATTATATCTTATGTTTATTTACAAACAAATACAAAATTAATTGTAATCTTATTAATATAATAAGACTATAATAACTTTAAATTTTTATTTTACTTATTTAATTTTTATTTACAATCAAATATAATAATAAATGTTTAAATAAAGATGTATTAAAATAAATACAAGTTAGTATTTATAATATAATAATAATAATTAATAATTTAATAATATTAATAATTATTAATATAATTATATTTATAATTATTATATTTAATAATATTAAGAATTATTAATTTATTATTTCTTTTATTTAAAAATTTGGCGCTATAATTTTTTTTTTTATCTTAGTAAGAACAAAAATAATAAATTAAAAAAAGCATAATTATATTTAAATAAAATATATTTTTAAAACTAATAAAAATGATTGAAGAAACCGCAGAACCCCAATAATAATAAAAATCAGAATAAAACAAACCCAAATAATTTGTTTTAGATAGAAATTCTTTACAAGAATATTATCAATAAAATTTTCCAATTAACCAATTTTATGATTGGTTATGTTATTGTAATATAAAAATACAAAAACATAAAATATTTTATAATAAAATAGCCGAATCTTAAGAATATTTTTAAAAAAGAGAATTTTCATTTACATTTCCAGGAGATGTATATTGGCGTTATATATTTTTCAATTCAAAAGAACACCTATTGTAAACTTTAATTGAAAAAGTACCAGAAAAAATAGATATAGGGGCCGTATTTAATAAATAAGGATAAAAAGGTGACATGAATTTAAAAGCTATAGAAAAAGTAAATAAATAAGAAAAAAAATTAAATATAAAAAAAAGGAATTTGTAATTGATATTGATATGACTGATTATGATAATATAAGAACTTGTTGTACAGGTGCTAATATATGTGAAAAATGTTGGAAATTCATGAAATATGCTTGCGAATTAATATCTAAAACTTTAGAAGATTTCGATTTTAAACATGTTTTGTGGGTTTATTCAGGAAGAAGAGGTATACATGCTTGGATTTGTGATTCTAATGTAAGAAAAAGTTCAGATAAAATAAGATCTTGCATTATTGAACATATGAATTTAATTATAGTAAAATAAAAATTATATAAATTAATTTTAACAATTTTTTTATTATATATACAATTATATTTTAATGTTATATAAAAATAAAAAAAATAAAAAAATTAATTATAAATATTTTATAAAAAAAATAATATAAAAAAAAAAATTTGATAAGTATTTATATATATATATATTAATATATAAATATATATATATATATATATATATATATATATATATATATATATATATTTTTTTTTTTTTATTTTATATATTATAGGATAATGATAAAAGTGATCATTATTTAAAAAGTCAACTTGTAAATTTAAAAAGTCATTATTTAATTGATAGGGCATTTTTAAAAGATGGTGATAAAAATGATAAATTTGAAGAAATTATTTTATAAGATTAAGATCTTTTTATGAAAAACCTAAACTTATTTTAGACTTTGTTAATAAAAGATGTCCTTTATTATATTCAAGAATTGTAGAAAATTGGAAATCTAAAAATACATCAAAAGAAAGATACTTAAGCTTAAAAAATGAAATCGAAATAAATAAAGATAATAAAAATAAAGATAATAGTTTAAAAAATTTTATGGAAGAATTAAAAATATGGCTTTTGTATCCTAGATTAGATGTTAATGTGTCTAAAACAACAAATCATTTATTAAAATCTCCATTTTGTATTCATCCGAAAACTGGGAATATTTGTGTACCTTTTACTAGTAAAGAAATTTAAAATTTTAATCCATTTGATGTGCCCAATATGAGTAGTATTAATAGTGTAGAAGGATAAAGAAAGTTTAATGAATATTTAAATTTGTTTAAAAATTTTGTTAATTAGGTTAAAAATGAGATAAATAATTGATTTTTTTTGTTAATTATTTAAACTTATATATATTTTTTTTATGTTTATATACAGATATATTTTTTTTATTTATATATTTATATTTTTTCTTATTTTATAGTTAATAATTAAATAAATTTTATTTTATTTTTAAATAAAACTGTTTTAATATAATAATAAAAAGTAAATATAGTATTTATATATTAAATAACTAATAAATAAAAATAATTATAAAATAGCAGAAAAACCATAAATATATAAAATATACATAAGTAAAAAAAAGAAAAATTATGGGTAATTGTTGCTCAAATTAAGATTAATAAACATTAGAAATATTAGATTAAAAAAGTTAAAATATAAATTAAAATAAAAAAAAAGTAAATTAACACTAAATATAAGCATAAATTTAAGAATAAGTGAAATAAACCCATTTAACAAACTAAAATTAAATCAATTTACATTCTTCTTAAAGCTAAAATACAACAATTCAAAATGAAATCATATATGCGGCATGTATTTTGGAATCATAAACAGATTTAGAAATATTTGGACATGTCTTTTTTAAATAAGAAAATAATAAAACAAAAATAAAAGTAAGAATAAAAGGATTAAACAAAGGAAAGCATGGTTTTAATATATATGAATATGGGAACTTATATAATCCAGGAGGACATTATAATCCATTTAATAAATAACATGGAGGACCTGAATCAAAAAATAGACATGTAGGAGATTTAGGAAATATTGATTATTATAATAAAAATTTAGAATACGCAGAATATGAAATAGAGGATGATTAAGTCATGTTGACTGGGTAACATAATATTATTGGAAGAGCTTGTGTTGTACATAAAAATGAAGACGACCTAGGTCTAGGAGGTAATAAGGAATCATAATGTGATGGAAATGCAGGACAAATTGTAGCTTTCGGAGTTGTTGGATTATCAGATAAATTTAATTTTTATTTTTGAAAAATCATTTTTTTATATATATACAAATATATAATTATGTATATATTAGTATATATATATATATATTTATATATATATATTTAATTTAAAGTATTTTCTATGGAATATATTTTTTTTTAAGTTTTTTAATTAATTTTTTTAAAAATACTAATTATGTTTTATTAATTTCAAAGTATTTAATTTTATCTCCTTAAAATATTTCTTTATCTTATTAATTTTATTTAATTATTTAAAAGAAATATTTAAATTAATTTATATATTTTTAATTAATTTATATATAAATAAAATTTATTTATAAATTTATATTAAAAAATAAATTAAAATAATATAATATTATATTTTAATTAATTTATATATCTCTAAATATATTCTTATAATAATTAAAATATTTTTTCATCATACATCTTATAAATAATTAAATATTATATTTAATTATTTTACTATATTTTATTGGGATATTTTTTTTTACATATAATTAATTAATTATATTTTTTTAATAAAAATAAATTATATATATTTCATTTATATGAAACCCATAATAAAGAAATAATAAAATAAAGACTTTATTTTAATAAATAAATATTATAGTATTTTAAGGTAACAGAGTCATTGTTCTTTTATAAATAAATTAATGATGCTTGAGTTATCGAAATAAAAATAATTCTTCCTAAGGCTCTTAACATATAATGATATATGTGTGGATACCATGGAATAAACATATTATATTATTTAAGATATTTTTTTTAAAATACAAGTAAAAATAATTTAACATTATTAATAAAAAATTTATATATTTAAATGAATAAAAAATCATAAATTGATTATGTATAAAAATTTTAATTAAACAAAAAATTCTATAATATATAATTAAAATAAATATATAAATATAAATATATATATATATATATTTATATATTTTTTTAAAATATTTTTATTTTATATAAATAAATTTTTATAAATTCTTATTAAATGAATATTACATTTAAAAATAAATTTTTATAAACTGTAATTATGTTTTTCATAAATTTTTTTTTAATTATATGTGTTTAATTTTAATAATTTTATTAATTTTTTTTTTTTTTTAAAATATTAAATTTTTTAAACTTATATAAAAAATCTAATTAAATAATACATTTGTATGAAATCAAATATTGATAAAAAATAAAATTTTAAATATATATAGTTTAAAAAAATGAATATATAATAAAAAATATGATTAATATTATTTGTTTATCTATTTAGATAAAAAATAAAATATTTATATAAAAATAAAATAATATATATATATATATATATATATATATATTTATATATATATATTTATATAATGCATCTTTTAAAATTTCTTTATTTATTATTTAATATAATTCTTATCTATATATTATTTTTCATTTAATTTTAAGTTTATTTTTTTTATATAAAATATAAATAAATATAAATATTATAATAATATATATTTAATTAAATTATTAATTATAATTTTATTTTATTTATATATCAAAAATAATTTTTTTTTTTTAATAACTATTGTTTAATAAATTATTTAATTTAAGTTATAAAAAAATTTAAACTTTATAATTTTATATTAAAGAAAAATATTCTATATTAAATAATACTAAATATCGTTTGTATGATAATAAAATATAATACAAATAATAATACATAATTTTAATAAATCATTTTTTTATTCTCAATGATAATATTTATAGGGAAATCTAAAGTATTAGCTTTTATATCCACTTTAAGAAATATAATTAGGATTTTGGACAAAGTCTTAAGATATAATTTATGAAGCTCTCATTTCTACATTTTTGGGAGATCTAGTATAATAGGAATATTATTTAGGATTATAGTCTAAATATTCATCATAATATTCAACAGGTACATATTCTACTCTTTTTTAAACTCTCTTTACAGGTTAATAATCTGTTACATGCTTTATTTCTACATAGTCTAAAAAAGATCTTTCTACTGGGCGATATTCAACCTTTGTTTCGGGAACGTAATCAATATATTTTTTTTCAATTGGTTAATACTCAGTCCATTCATGGGGTCTAGGCTATACTGTAACGTATTAATTTCTATAAGAGCCTTATTATCTAGTATAATTTGTTGTTGGAGATGCTGAATATTATAAAGAAGATTAATATAAATGTGGTTTTGAGGGATAATACATTTATTTAATTATTTTATTTAAAATATATTATATTTATTATATTTTATTTTATTTATTTTTATTTTATTTATATTTATAATTTTTTTATTATATTGTTTTTTGTTAAATTAAAAATTTATAATGTATAAGTTTATTAAATTAATATTTTATTTAAATTTTTGTTATTTTTTAATTTTTAATATGAAAAAAATAATAAAAATATATATATATATATATATATATAAATACTTATTCTTATTTTTTTATTATTTCAATATATAATCAAATATAATTTCAATATAATATATTTATGTATTTATTATTATTAGTATTAATATATATTATATAATTTTATTATTAATTATAATAAATAAGATAATAATACATTTTTAAAACATAATTTAATAAATAAATAACAATAATTTTTTATCTATTTTTTTTTTTTTTATAAAAAAAATAATAATAATAAAAAAACAATATATATTATATATATTTTTATCAATTTTATTATTATTATTATTTAACCCAAACTTTGTCACTAATATTTTTCTAAGATTAATAATCAAATCCATTTGGTAGTAAATCTTCAACTTCATTTTAAGGTATAACAATAATTCTTCCATTAGGTTTTGAATTATCCAATCTTTAGTTCGAATTTCTGCTATTTTTATTTTTAAAAATAGTCAAATGAATAGAAAAGTCTTCACTTTAATCTTATTTATTATTTCCTTTTTTACTCTATAAAACATAAGCCTTTACAAGTTAAAGATTTTAATTTGGTTCGAAAAGTCCTCTAAATTTTGGTAAATCTGGAAAAATAGCATTTATTATGCCTGTTTTATCTGCCAATTTTACGTGTAAATTTGCTTTATCTTAATGCAAATTTTCTCCTCCTTCTTCTTTTCTATTGTTTTAAATTAAAGGAACTGATTTTCTTTCTATTACTTTCACTAGGACGTTATAGACTTGTTCATTAGGAGAAATCTTACCAATTTCAATATTTTTGAAGTCATATTTTTTCTCACTTATGTTTAATTGTTCATTATTTAATTCCAAAGCTTGTCCTTCAAAAAGTCCGCTGTTGTTTTCGTCAGTAATACAGCCCCATTTGTTAATTATTATAACTAATTTATTATCTATGTATTTAGTTTTAGCATTCCTTAAAGCTATTTTATTACCTACTTTAATTAAATTAGGATCAACTGCACCTTCAGATAAAATAGCACGAGCAAGACCAGTATTGTCGGCTAGAGTTAATTCTATTTGTTTAGTTTCGGGAATTTGAGTTACTTTTTGAACTTGTACACATACGTGAATTGATTTGAAAAATGAACGGAGTTGGTTTAATTTAGTCCATAAAGGTTTTTAGAGTTCTCTTAATTGATTTTATTGTTGTTATTTCGACATTTTTTTTAAATTTTTTTTTTTTTTTTTTTTCCTCTTTTTTATTTTTTTTTTTATTGAAAATAGAGATTTTTAATAAATATAAAAAAAGATTTTTTATTTTATATATTTATTTAAAAATATATATAATTTTTTTATTTGTTTTTTATTAGCAATTAATTAATAATTATATTATAAAATTTCATATAAATAAATTATTATTACAAAATTTTTTTATCTTTTTTCATTTTTTATATAAAAATTATATTGCGCAATAATTATTTTTCTTATTAAATTTATTAATATTAAAAATAAAGTATTAAATATTTTGAATTTTGTAAATTTTTATAAAATTAATAATACTTTTTTTAATTTTTTTATCAAATAAAAGATAATCTTCAATCTTAAAAAAGTAAATTATTTTATGTTAAACATAAATTTAAAAAAGTAAATTAAACTTATTTATTTAATAAAAAGATAAATCTCTTAAAATAAATATTATAAAATATTATTATGTTAACTATGTATATATAAATAAAATAATTTCTAAGAATATATAATATTGCTATTAGTATAAAAAAAAATTAAATAAATTATATTGCTATTATTATAAAAAAATATTAAAATAAATTAAGATTTATTATATATGCTATTATTTTATAATATCAAAAAATTAATAAAAATATAAAAACAAGTTGAATTATAATAATAAATAATATTTTATTTTTTAATGAACGTTTTTTAAATAATAAATATATTATATAAAATATTAAATATTTCCTATATTTTTTTTTATTAATCGTAAATTATGTTTATTCCTAATCTTATTAATTATATAAATTAATTTTATTTAATTATAAAAAATTAAAACTTTAAAAATCTATTATATAATATGATTAAATATTTATATAATTTATTTTTTTCAAACCAAATATAATTATAAATTTTTATATATACTTAAAAAATGTTATATTCTTTGCAAATAAAATAATATTTAAATAATTGGCAACTATCAAGTCTTTAAGAAAAAATTAAAACTTTAGATTCAATTATTTCATTATTTTAAAATATTGAATTAAACCAAAATTTAATAATTGACTTAAATTTACAATTAACAGAACAATTAAGCCATACCAATCCCAATTTATTAGAAAAATCTTTGAAAATCCTCGAACTTTATATATCTTAAAAACAAATAGAATACACTTTTGATGTCTAAAATGTCGTTTAATTATTACTATCAAAAGTATCTATAAAAAAGTAATATACACTAAATTCTTAGAAATTATTACATAGATTATTGTTAAGTGGTTATAATGAAAACATATCAAAAGGAATTTCTTAAATATTTTAAAAGCAAGAGCCTAAATCAATAATGGAATGTTTAAAATTTCTCGATTAAGAAATAAATTAATTAGATGAGAAAGATACAATAAAAAATTTAATTAATGAATAAAAAGGTCAAATATTTTATTTATGTTCAAATTTTTATGTGGCAAATGTGAGAATTTTAAGTTTGGATTTGATAATAAAAATAGGCCAAATATATGGTTTTTATTTTATTGAGGAAAATCTAAAAATATTAAAGTTAAATTAGTTGATGAGTTTAAAATAAATATTTGCTAATTTTTAATAATTTTAGTAAATAATAAATTTGAAAGTGATAAATTAAGATAATGATTGTAAACAGTTTAATGATTAAAAGTAGAATTTATATTTTTAGAAAATATGTATGCACGAACTTGAATTGAATCAAAAATAGCTTAAAGAGGAATAATTAGATTAGGATATTTAAGATAAATAAAAGAGTAATTTTACTAATTTTTAGAATAAATAAGCTATGATTATTAAAACTTAAAATAATTAGAATTTAGTTTAGAAATTTAAATAATAAAATTTTAAAGGAAAGCTTCTATGCCTTAAAGAAATATATTATCTTTTTTTGAATAATAAAATGAATTAGGAAGAAATAGAATAATATTGGGATTTTGTTTCTTTTTTTACTTTCAATAATACTAAAGGATAAGATTTGGCTATAAAGATTTTACATTTATATATATAAAATGTTTAGAATGAAGAAATTATTTAAAAAATACTAAAATCTTAAATTAAAGATATTATTATTTTGGCTTTAAAAAATATTTCTTTGTGTAAAACTTTACTTTTTAAACCAAGTATTTAAATGGTTAATTTTTTACTTTCTTTTAAGTTTTTCTAAGAAGAAATTATGGAAGGAATTCTTATTTTAATTAATGATAAATCTATTTATATAATAAACAATATTATTGAAATTATATAGAATATTATAGTCAGAAATAATCTTTTGGAACTTCCTTTGGCAGATAAAATATTATAATAATTAGTTTTAATAGCTTCTACTTTTAATGAAAAAGTGAAGGAAAGTAGTTTCGATTTGCTAGTTTGTATAGGAAAGGAAAAAGTTGACATATTAAAATATGTTGAAAATTTGAATAATTTTTAGTTTTAGAAATATATTTAAATATTAGAAGAATAAAATTAATTATTTGATTAAAATTAAATATTGTTTATTAATTTTGCTAATAATTAAATTAATTAAGAGATTTTTTAAAATTAAATTGATTCATTTAATTAAGATTAATTGCTTTGTTTTTTTAAAGCAGTTTATGATTATAAGAATAATAATTATAAAGATGTTAAATAAAAATTATTAATTAATTTAATAAACTAATTTAAATATTCTTGTTTTCATACATTTCTTATTTTTTAATTGTAAAATCGAAACTAAATAAGTACGCTTTTTCATATTTTGAACTCGGTCGTATAAAAAATTAGTAATCAAGAAATTCTTGAAATAATAGAAGAAGGAGTTAAGTAAATTCAATTTAATAATAATAATAAAGATAAAAATCTAATTTATAGTTTTTTGGCTAAATATTCATTATAAAATTAAGATTTTAATTTAGAAAAATATTAATTATAAGATGAAGATTACATTAAAATAAAATAATTTAAATAAAAATTTGAACTTATTAAATGTAAAAAAGATCAAAATCAATCTAATTAAGCAATTGATGAAGAAGCAAAAGAATAAAATTAAATTTTTAAATTATAAAATTTCCAAAAAGAGACAAAAAATCAAGAAATTTAATAAAATAATAGTGATATTGACGAAATATGAAAAAAAAAAAAATTCATAAGTTTATATATTTTTATAATTATAAATATTTGTGTTTTTTTATTTATATATTCTTCTTCATAAAGTTGCCAAAATTAGTTCTTTTAATTAAGAATTAGAAGCAGTTTTAAAAACAGAAACTATATCTAATAATTCTTAAATAGAAGACATTTATTCTTTTTTTCTTTATAAACATTAAATTTACTAATTTAAGTACTTACATTAGCCATCTATTCGACTAAATATTTTAGAAACTCCTAAAAAACAGAGCAATTGAACTATTAATAGTTAAATTTATTTTAATAATTTATATTATTATCTTAATTATTATTTACGGATAAATTATCTTATTATTTTTAAAGGTATAGAATTGCTTATTTAATATTTATTAATAAATTAAAAACCTCATTTTTATGTATTTCCTATATATATATAAAAAAAACAAAAAAAATATATATAAATAATAATAATAATAAAAAATACATTTTTTTTCAAATTATTTTAAATAAGAAAAACATTTTAAATAAATCCAGCATGATATGAGTAAAACGGAATAAAATTTTAATTTTCATTTAAAATTTGTAAATAATTTTCCATTTATTGAACTTCATCTTAGTTTCCGAACAAAAATACTCTCGGTCCTTCCAAAAAAAGTAATAATTTAGCAACATAAAGGCCAATTAAATTAACTTTAAATAGTATATTTTAAACTCTAAATAAATTGTTTTTCATAATAATAATTAATTCCTTTCGAATATAAAACTAAATTATCATAAATATTAATATTATTTTCATTTTCATCAAAAATTGTAGGATTTTATAAATAAATTTACTAAATAAAATGCAAACAAGACGAATTTTTTTTTATTTAATCTTCCTTTAATTTTAATAAAAAAGTTTAGTTTTTTATTTATTTATCTCTTTAAAGTTACTCTAATAATCCTCTTAAGAAATAAGCTTTTTTATCTTCCAAAAACGATATATCTGAATATCCATATCGGCTAAATATTTCTAATGTAAACCAGCCTAATCTAAAATCGAACCTACTTTTAGAATAATGAATTCTTTTAAGGAATTTAATTGGGTCTAAATTATTATCATTATTCTAGTTATTCTTTTTTCCAAAAAAAATTAATAATAGAACTTCTAATGATAATTTATCTTAATATATATATTTATTTTATTAAAAAAATATATTAATAGACTCTTCTAGAGTTCTTTATCGGAAATTCCTTTCACCATACCAGAGAAAACAGGCGAATTATTAGATTAAAGAAAGTTCTTAGTTTTTATATATTATCTCAATGTTCCCGTTAAGGAAATTTATTAAGTCTAGGAATTAGTGAGAAGGGGGTATTTAGGAAGATATAAAAGATTCACATTAAGATACTAGTAGAGCCAGTTAAAAATAATTTTTTTCTTAAAGTTTTTTGGATGCTTTTTCTATTTGGTGGTGAGCAAGAAGATTTAAAATGTGGCTTTGGAGATTTTCATTTTGCTTTTAGATGATTTCTTTTTCAAAGAATTTCATATGAAGAATTTATTTTAGATTTATTTTTTATAATTATTCGACATTTAATTATTTATGTTCTAGTTTTAAGTCTTAAAGTAGTATTTAATAATCATCTTATTTATAATTCTATATTAATTAAATATATGAAAATAATATTAATATATATATATGTATATATATAAATATATAAAAATATATATATATATATATAAATATATATACTTAATTAAAAAAAATAGAAGGATATATAAAAGGATTTCCAAAAAAGCAGTTAAAAATAGAAAGTATTAAAAATTCTTCTTTTAAAGCATTTTTCAAAATTTCGTTTTTCGCATTTTTTAAAGCTGGAATTAA